CTGTGGTAGTGGAGTCTACGTATTATTGTGCCACATGTAGAAACAAATAGTAATGACAGATACAAAATATAACAAAGTTTGTTGAAAATACTGTGTCTGACAAAGAGATACATTAACATAGCGAAGATGAAAAGGGAGGGATGTGAGCAGAAGGGAAGTGTGTGGACGGGTAAGGATGGGTCGAGGGTTATATACAGCTGGGTGATGCCGTCACAAATAAACTGAACTGAAAATTAGAGGAAGAGTCTGGGGTCCTTTCCTTGTGAATTATGTGAGGATGTCCGTACCTCATTTCCTCAGGGTCTGACAGAGCCGAGTAAGGTCCGAGTGATAACAGGGTATTGGAAACCCCTGAGTTTGGGAGTTTTGTTTGAAATTGAAATCTAGATCGGTGACATGGTTCTACTCGTGATGTTACATGACTTGCCATTTTGTTCGCCTGTGCCACTACTGTGGCTGAGTAAGCAACAGGTCAGACCTAGTAGTGGGTCACCAAATGTCTCTCCAGCAAACTGCAACAGCTAAGGTCCCGAGGTTTTCATTATCATATTGAGTGTGGTTGAAATATTACTGTCTGAAGAAATCGTGCTGAACGGATGAGATCTCAAAGAGATATGCGTGAAATAAGTGCCCCCAGGCAAGTAAAATGTACAATTTTGTCATCAGCACTAAGCCTTTGATGACCTTTTGACTTCTCCTCTACCTCCACATTCTTGTTCACAAAAAAACTGGCTATTCACAAGGGTTTAGACCATGTCTGGCAACATCCCCACAAAAATCTGTTGCACGGAGCTTACAGGGTCGTCTCAGGGACTCCAGATCTTGTGATGGACCATCTCACACCTCTTGCCTATGACGAGCAATCATTCTAGCTATAAAAACGTCACCACAACACGAAATTCATTCTAACCTCACATAAATGGACTAGATGGTGGTGTGTGCATGCCCATATTTTTTTCTGATTTGTCTGGGCATTGTATGGTCTGAAAATTGTATATGATCATCAGGCAGCATATAAAGGCTCTTTGACTGTAATTCGTCTTTTATCAACATTTCCTTGTCGCTTCAGCATTTCAATTGTATGTATGCTATTCCTTGTGATATTCTGCATCTTCTAATACACTCAATTCATTTATTTAGATGTCCCATTATGTTTCAGATGTCCGTGACACTTCGTACAGTGCTCCACCTCACTTTGTGACACATCGTGAGATTGACGAAGCACACCGTCAACAGGAAGCCTACAACGAGTTGCATCAGACATAAGTTTGTCTTGCTAACAATGTACTGGTAGCTGATATCGTGTTTGACAGTCTAATAGACAAACTCTCTGACGAGGATGGTATGCCTCCTCTAATTGATGCATTCACCCCTCTGGCTTCCCCGTCACCTTCAACAATACCATCTGATGGACCCACAGATGGCAAGATGTGCTGTGCCATGATCTACAACATGGACGAGGCCGGCAGCCGTTTTAAAACACCCCATGCCCACCAACACAGTGTAAAGACTGATGACTGTGAAGCTGCGAGGAGTACAGGTAATGATGCACAGGAGGACAAGTAGTTTGTGAGCTATGTACTTGTGATCGCTGATTAGTTTCTTCATCAACCCATTACACTTGTCAGTACAGAGTTTGTTTGTTTATGATTTGCTCGTACTATGCCATAATACAATGTTTGGGGTTGCATAAATGTCCTGACTCGCACGCCAACTTTTGCATTCAACCCAGTGCCATGCCTCCACAGAATACCGAACAAACACTGCAGGCTGCTCTTACAGCTGTCCTTGCAGTGGGTATTAATGAAAAAGGTCTGCCAAACTACAGCTTGCGTTTGGCAGCCCTGGATTACAAAGTTTCCCACACCACACTCACAGCACGGTACAATGGCTGACAAACAAGGTTTGAGGCTCACGCAAAAGAACAGAAGCTTACTCCATCCCAGGAGAATGCTTTGAAAGAATGGATCAAAGCATTGGGACGTCGAGGGCTGCCTATGTCACTTCACTTAGTGGCAGAACAAGCTTCAGTCATTCTTTGTGGAAATCCTTTGTTGGAGCATTGGGCACGTCACTTCCGAACTCGCCACCCTGACTTACAGTCACATTGGGCAAGTGGACTTGAATGTTGTCGTGCAAAGGCATTGAACCGCCCACAAGTCACGGAGTACTTCAATATCCTTGTCAAGCTCATAACAAAGTACAATATCATCCCCAGTAACATCTACAACATGGATGAGAAGGGTGTGCAGCTTGGAATTGGAAAATGAACCCTTGTTCTTGTTGACCGTGATCAAAAAACTATCCAACACCTTGAAAATGGTGACCACGAACTTGTGACCATCATTGAAACAGTCTGCGTGGATGACAGTTCAGTACCCCCATCAGTCACATTCAAAGCACTGCGTCGTAATCTCGCATGGTCACAAAACAATCCTGACCAAGCAAGGTATGTTTAAATAGAGCTCAACTCGTGCCAATGTCTGACTGGTTAGCAGTATATTAGTTTCTCTGAATGGGTTGACCGACAATGAGCTTGGACTCAAGTGGTTGCAGAATGACTTTGAACCTGCGAGTGCAGCTCATAATCCATCAAGTGGCTGGAGGCTGCTTATCCTTGATGGCCACAACTCGCACTGCATGTTCAAGTTTGTCAAGTTTTGTCATGATCACCACATTGTCCTGTTTTGCTTGCCATCGCACACAACACACCGTCTTCAGCCTTGTGATGTTGGTATTTTTGGGCCATTGGCGTCGAGCTGGAAGTCAGAGGTGAACAAGGCGAGCGAAGCAGGCATTAGCATTATGAAGGGCAATTTTCTTGAATTCTACCACAAAGCTCGCCAGCGAGCATTCACTCCATCCACTATTCAGGCAGCATTCCGCAAGACAGGCATCCATCCTCTGGACCCTAATATCATTGAAGATGCTGCATATGCCCCCGCACTTAATACTACAACACAGTCAGCACAACCTGTGCCAGCCACGCTACCCACACTCTTGGAGGTTGCAGCTGAGACAGACTCAGACCATGTTTCTGATTCCGACGAGGCTACAAGTGAAGCTCTGGCGTCGTTAGCAACAGCCAAAACATTGCATAATGAACCTACCAGCACAACACAAACTCTCGTCAGTAGTATTCCACCTAGCAACAGCGGCAAGGCAGAGTCATATCGCCTCGTTGACTTTCCACCCATTTTGCCCCAGACCGCATCTCGGAAAGCTTATATAGTTGGCTACCATGCCCTCCGTGATTGGGCAGAGAAGGCAAAACAGCAGATGGAGGCCGACTATGCCATGAAGAAGTTGATGGAAGCCGAAAACAGACGGTTGCAACGGCAGTTGTTTGGGCAGAAGCAGAACAGCCCATGGAGGGAAGGTGGCTCAGGCTCTCACCACATGACCTGTAATGATATGCTTGATGCCCTTGCAAAAGCCGACTGGACCGCAAACATCAAGGTTGTTCACACCGAGGCTGCGAAAAAGTTCAGAGGAATTTGGCAGGTAATACGAGATCACGAAAAGGCTGAAGAAGACCTATGACAGAGAGAGGAACGTGACCAACATGCAGCTGCAAAGGAGGCAGCAAAAGCTGTCAAAACTGCGATGACACTTGCTGCAAAGCACATCACAGATGCTCAAAAAGCAGCTAAGCATGAGCTGGTGTTGGCTCGCAAGGCTGAAGAAGCAGCTGCAAAGAAAGCCACAGTCGAGGCAAAGCATTCTGCAGCAGCAGCCAAGCGAGCAGATGCAGAGGAGAAGAAACATGTTGCACACAAGCACAAAATTGTAGCGCGAGTGGAGAAAGAATGCAAGCAGCTGGAGAAAGCATCAAAAACCATTCGTCAACAACCTGTGGAAAGTGAAAATGAAGATTCACTTAATCACGGCTCAGAAAATCTCAACCTTGTCGATGATAACAACCTCGAACCTCTTCAGCCCTCAAATATCCAACCTCACCCTCGTCCTCGACCCATCCTGCACCAAGTGAACAACCCATTGCCTGATTTGCACCTCCATGTTGTCCAGGTCCAGAGTCCCACCAATATTCAGAAAAGTGTCCTTGATGGTGAGGATGATGCTCATGCTGCAGCTGCAGCCAATGCGGACTCTGTGATTGTTGATAAAGGGCAGCCTGTGCGATGGAGCACTCATCAACGCACAAAACCTTGATTGCCGGCAGGTACCGGAGATTGCTGGCAGCTGACTCGCTACACTGGTTTTGACCAAAACTGAGACCCTCTGGCAAAATATTTGTAGACCCTCACAACACTTCTCTAAAATTCTAACAATACATAATTATGATAGCCAGAATTGTTTTCTCTCATTCTATGTACTTTTTCCATCACAATACTCCATCCTCGTACTTGAAATCATAAATTAAGGCTAAGTGACCCATTTCCTATTTAGGCACAGTATGTAACAGACCACAGCCGGCAACACATATGTACAAACAATGTACCAACAACTCTTCTCCTTGTTCGTTTCACCTTCAACCAATACAGCATCTACTACCATGTGACTCACTAGCCTATCAGTTTAGCTGGTCCCACTCATCCTGCATCCTTTCCTCAGCCATACCCTTTGAAGCTGAGCGCTGAGCGCCGACTATTAGCCAAAGACGAAGCTTGTTGTCCCTTCAGCGCTGATGTGACTGCATGAGAAATAACCCCATTGAATTCCATCATCGGATTGGTGCGCATCACCTTCCCTCTTCCTTTTGAGATCTCCATATTTGCTTTTTAAGGCTTTCAATGGCTGACCAATCCTCCCTCGAAGTGAACTTGCGATCACCATTACTGAACTCAGTATGATTTGGCTGACTCGTACCTCACATATGAGCTTCGTGGCAGGGTATCGAGATTGTCAATGCGTTTAGGTGGGCTCGTAGCAAGAGAATATTGGCACTCCTAGAAAAACCTTCTTTTCCCTACAGAGTGGCTATGAAAATATTCAAACATTTGAAGCGGTGGAATTGGGGTAAATATGTTGAAAAAAATCTAGGAACTTCTGATTTCGGCCCAACAGATATGATCCTTCTTCATATATGGATGTGCAAATCCCTTTCCACAGCCAGCGCAGACAGCCTTAACCTTCCACAGACGCATCTCATTCATGTGGCGAGTGTGGTTCTCCTTCTTGACAAGTCTTGAGCATCCAGGCCAGGCGCACTGTACCTTGTCTTGGCTCCCCTGCGCATTGGGGAGAAGTGGTTCTGAAGAGTTGAATAGGGTTTGCCCCTCAGAGTACATGTCCTGCTGAGGCAGGGAGGGTTGTTCGCCACTGACGAAACTGGAGGTGCCATAGAGCACCACGTCTGTATGCACACGGTGAGCATTTAAAGGAAAAGCTGCCAATATCCAACTTACCTTGGGGAAGTTGACCGACAGGAGGATCTGCATGCTCTGACAGCGATCCCGTAACTCTGACAGATCCTAAAGGACTGTACTCTTGTTCCATAAACTGGTCATGGAGTGCTGGTTGTGACAAGAGGAAGAGGTCGAGCAGAGTTGGCAACAGTGACACAGCATTGAGCTGGTCGAGCATGATGGTCTGAGGCTCATCGTCAACAATCATTTGCATGTTAGCACTGTCATTACATATGCCTGAATCCCCCATGGCGACTCCTGATTGGCAGCTGGCAAGCTCTGCAATGCAGGCCTGGAGCTCCAGCATTTCATTGCAAACACAGTCCATCTTGTCATGGAGTCAGACAAGGGACTCAAGACATGAATGTAGGGTCAATGTCGTTGAATCTTGATCAGGGGCCTGCCGCAACCGCAAAGATGACATTGACACGGGATTTGTTAATGTCGACCTGGGTAAATTCATGGTAAGTTTGCATCCTGAGTCCATGAAGCGTAAAGGAAGCTGACTCCAAATAGGTGCTCATCCTGAAAGCTGAATCTGACTTCTTGCAGATTCTAGGTAGCAGGGCAAGTGGTGCAAATGCGAGAGAATGCTTCCCAGCTTCTGAGATCCCTGCCCTTATACTCGCGTTCGAGGTCTGTGGCTGTCGCCTGCAGACTGAGCCCAAATCAGTTTATGCCTGTGGCAAGACTGGCAGGTCAATTTAACTATGGCAGTACAATCTCCAAATCATTTGGTTTTCTGCTTTCTCAGTTCGAGCGGACGGCTCATTCTCCATGAGGACACAGGCAGGTGTTCGACATGCCTGACCTGTAAAATTATTCCTCCGAATGAAATTAATAACAACTGACAATTAACAATTAACAATCAACAATCTAAAAGGGAGAAGGGGGGGGAATGGTGGGAGCATTTGGGCATTTCCACATAAACCACATAGAGTCGGTAAGCCTCGTCAGCATTTATTGCCGTCCTGAGTCCTCGAGGGTCGGGGATGTGCAATCTAACGTCATGTTTACCCACACAGCCATAAGGATTCAAATTCAGTTTGCAGGCGACAGCGCTCAAGGGGTTTAAAGGTGCATATAATGGCAAGAATCTCCAATTCAGCGTCAGAATGAGCATGTATTTTCAAAAGGTTTATTTACCTTTACATGGCATAGACTCGAAATTCACACATGAGCTTACATGTAAGGTCTAGATCGATGCTAACAACCCTCCCATCAACATCGTTGTCTTCACGGTTTAGGGCAGACCCCCGATCAAGATTCAATGAGATCAACCCTGCAATCGTGTCTCGAGTGCCTTGACGGACACAATGACAGGATGGTCGGCCTCTACAGGGAAATCCTGGAGATCCGCACCCGCATTACAGAGCTTCTTGCCAGATGCCCGTCAGAAGTCACCGTTGGGGATCCGGGTGCAGGGAATAGCACTGTTGACCTCCAAGCAATCTTAGATGATGAGCCTCAGACCGTCGTGCCAGACACACTCGATGAGCCTAATGCTATTATGCTGTTGTCGACTCTGCCTGACTTCTCCTTCTTGCTACCGGTCCTTTAGGATCTGTCGGGGATACAGGATTGATAACAGAGGGGGCAGAATCCTCCTGTTAGTCAACTTTTCCGAGGTAAATTCACTAGGATTTGCAGCATTTTATTTAAACACTTACCGTGTGTGATGAGGCCTATTTTGTTAATTTATTTTTTGTATCCAATTTTTGTCCATTGAGAGTGAAACTCTATGTAGGACATTACTATCTAGTCTCGGGACCCCGTGTCCCGACCCCGTTGATGAGGCCTATTGCTCTGTGGCACCTACGGTTTTGCCAGCCACAAGCCTGGTGCACGATCCTTCCCACCAGGCTGGGTGATCCATTGAACAGGGAAAGCCCTAGAGACAGATATAGTGATCTCGAAAGGAACAGGAAAGGCGGTGCACACCAATGCGAATAAAGATTCAATATGATTGTTTCTCGTGCGGTCACTGATGGGAGAGCATGCAGCTGAGTTGCAGGTGTCTGGTCTACTCAACTGAATCCCTTACAACATCTGGCTGACACATACAAAGCTCCCTGTCTGTGGTCCACAATTAGCCATGACAACATATATGACAACGCATATCTGTGCCACTGGAGGCATGGACAAGCATCGCAAGGTTTTCAAGGGAGCGCGCTACAATCGGAGATAAGCCACACTATTAGATACAATGTGAAGGGAATGGAAAGGTGTACTCTGGTATACACTGCCATTCCATTCTTACTGGGGATGAATCATGCAGCTAGTGTGGGTCCATTGCCAACTGGATCATACAGTGCCTCTTATACTATCAGCGATGCACCCATCCAAGTGCAATACAGTTTATGTGTCCCCTGGGCGCAATCTTCACAATCTCGCTCTTGAGTGGCCTCGCCAAACCATACATCACTGCTGCTCATCTCATTGAGACATGCTGAGGAAAATTCAGAGAACGAACCACTCTTGCTGACAGCATAATGCCCATGGTTAGCCTCGCCGTACTTGCCCGCTGTGCTCCCGATAAGTATGATTGCAGCCTTGTCATCCACATCGTCAGTGGATGTACACAAACGGTGCAGGTACTCACGGCAGACTTGAGGTGAGGTTCTCGTCGATGGTCTTGTGCTTGATGGTCATGTCCACGATTGGGACGTCCTCGGGCACCAGATTCCGTAGTTGACCACGACTACTGCCTCGGGGCCAAATGGTGTGCCCAAGGGCGCTTCAAACATGCGCATTACAATTATCTAGGAGGGGTCTGGTTGGACGCGTTAGAGTGGAACATGGCTTGCAGTCTAGACGGTGTTCAAATTAGACATGTAATGTGCACCCATATTTACACCGAGGGCTGGAAGGGCAGGGGGAGTGTCAGTCGCATTTTTGAATAGAGCGCTGATGGAAATACTGACGGTCTCAAGGCCGATGCCTCCGCTTGCACCTGAGATGTGGGTGAGGAAATCATGAGCGAGTTGACCAGGAAATGACATGGGTACGATTTCAACCCAGATCCATTAATATTGTCCGACTCTGACTCGCTGGCTTCGGGGATTTAAACCACAATCAGGCCATATGCATGACACAGCGGGGAAACTGACATTTTACCACCTTTTGCTGCCAGTGAAATTACATTCGAAGGGTAATCTAGAGTGCTCTGGAACGCTCTAGGCTAGGTCTGGAATGCTCTAGCCAGGTCTAGATCTGCTTTTGATTGAAATCTTGCGAGAGGCAAAATGTCGAAACCCCCGATGTGTGACCATGAATATTAATATCAGCCAAGTTTCACAAGCAAGCATGAGCCGGTGACCACAAATGGACAGTTCCTCCACGTGATAATGGCAATGGCGGGCTGTGGTATTGCTGCCCTTGTCTGTTTTCGGAGTAACACCATCCTCCTATGCCTGTTCGATATGCCAGGGCGAATCTATGTAACAACTTAAGTACTACTAATAGCACATGAGACACAGATAATTAATTAATAACATACCACTCATGCGTTACGTGCAAAGTCGTCGAGAGGCCAAGTGGGAGAAGTTCGGCCTGATAGTATGGACAAGGGCCCATTCAAGTTGCAGGAAATCACCCATTGACAATAAATAGTGCATTTGATCATCAGTCCTGTTCATTTTGTCTGACGAGTCTGACAAACTCCCAGCCAAGATCAGAGCTCCGAAAAGTCTATCGGAGAATGAGTACAGTTACTGGGTGCCTCGCAATTCTGAGCAACCACTTCTGCTATACCTAATCATCATTGAATCGAGGACTCTTTGCGAGTCGCTCGTTGTGCAGACTAATCAAGGAACTGATGAAGCACGATGTATAGATGTAACTATTACAATGCGGGTTCTGACTACGAGTGACGGAGACGACGGTCTGAGCGATTTGGGCAAAGGCGCGAAGCGCCTCCCGGTCCCGAGCTGCATCCTGTGCAAGAAAAGGTGAGCTGCGAATCCCATAATGGTAGGAGTCCTGATGACGCATCGAGCGAACTGCAGATACCCAGGACAGTAGGAGAAGGGACGAGTACTCACGTGGTGCATCAATGTTGGCGTGGCATTGTGTACCATAGGAATTCGTCTTGTAGGATTGGGGTGGCTTGGAGGTATGGTGCAAGTATCTGAGCATGGTTGCAAAGGTAGAGCTGAAAAGTGTCGCTGGCCCAGCGACCCATTGTTTTCACGACATCAAATGGGATGTTTCGGAGGAGGTATTCCAGGGTAGTGCCTATCCTAATGGCATGACCCTGTAGCGGCTCTAAGCTGGCGTCCTTGGCTGCCTCAGCGAGGCGAGATATGAATCTCGTTTTTGTCAGAGGGCGGTAAGAGTTTCCGAATTTGTACGTGAAGAGGGCTTTATCATGGGGGGGGGGGGGGGGTTATTGACGCGAAAGTGGTTGGCCAGTGCTGTGCTCGGGTCTGTAGGGCCATGTTGCTTGGCCCAGAAGACGTCTTCACCGCTGATTTGTGATGACTTTGTGCGCGGGAGATGGAAAACGGTGGTTGCGAGGCCGTTTCAATCCGTTTCTGCGCGGATGTCAGAGCACTTCATGTGGATTGCTGGGTCGAAGGATGACAGATTTGGAACTGTGAATTCCCCCGCCCTAGCGATGGAATAAAAGGCTGTAGTAAGGCAACTGCCTACTGCGGCGTCAAGCGGGTCCTTGGAATCCAGCTTTTGCAGAAGGCGAGTGATGAAATCTATCATGTAAGGTTGACGCTTCTTCCGTTTTGATGTTTGAGGGGTGAGGTTCTTGGCGGCCTTCAGCATTGTGATTATCTGGTTGTCGGTCACTGAATCGGGCCACTCTTTCCCATGTAGGATGTGCCATGCGCGAATGCCGTGGACGTAGTTGCCTATGGTACTGCCCGAGTAAGATCCCGCTAGGTCAGAAATGAAGGCCAAAATGAGGTCGGAAGATGCGGGGGCTCATGATGCTTCGTTAATGGATTTCAAGTCGCAGTATACATGGAATGCAAGGATGCCGCTGCCATAGACTTCTTGGGTACTGCTTGCCCATGTGTGGATCATGACGTCTTGTATGCGCTGTGCGTTGGCATGCGGGAGGGGTGATGATGCTGAGTGGGAATTTGCTGGGCGCCAGAGGCAAAGCCGCTCTTTTGCTGTGCAATGAGGGCACAGTGGAGATTCTTGTGGCGTGAGTTTAGTGGGATAGATTGTGGCTAGATGTGCCAGATTGAGGAAGGGAGGCCTGAAACTCAAAAATTTCGGACTTACTAAGTTTGCATCGCTTTGAAGAGTTCTTCTCCCTGACGTTGGAGCTTGTCATTGATGTGAGTGCGATGGCAGTGCTTGGTGTCAGCATTTGATGGCGCTTTGATGACTGCACTGCGAGGCCTGCATTCAGAAGGGAGCGTGGGACTGTCAAAGTCGGCAATGAACTTCCGAAGGGGATGAGGGATGGGGATTGGGGGGAGAAGCTGGCATAGAGGCGGATAGATGCCTCTGGAGGGGCCATCTGCAGGGTTGTGTGCGCTGGGCACATAGCGGGTGAGGAAAGAGCATCGTGAAGATGCTACGAGCTCATGGATTCGCTTGAATACTGTGTTGGTTGCCTTGTTGCAGCTCCGTCCCTTCCACCAACCTTCAACGACGCCCCGATTGTCGCCAAAAACTTTGATGCAATTGCCTTCTGGGCAGTGAGCAGTGAGTGCGAGGATGAGGAACTCCATCCCAACTGCTTCTGCCCATCCGATGTCCTGGTCATCGGCTTTCCAGCCAGGGAGGAGATGCCAGGCCCACCATCTGCCTTTGATCCATATCGCGACGCCAGTGCCTGAGCTAGTGTCAGAGTAAGCCGCAGGTTCAATGACTTCAATGGGTCCAGGGATGGGGCAGGAGACATTGGATTGTGCAAGGTTGGCTTTCCACCATCGGAGGTCTTCAGCTGTGTGTTTGGGAGGGGTACGTGGCATGTGCGGACGGTCACGGAAGATGGAAAACATAGATTCGAGAGACGCGAGGTAAGCTCGCCCTGCTGGGAGAACCAGGGAGGCGTGGAGTAGCTTTCCGTATAATTGCTGGACTTCTTGTAGGGTGTGGGTGGGTTGGGTCTCCCATTCCTGGATGGCCGCCAGGTATTTTTCCTTCTTCTTCTGTGGGATCGAGACGGTGCGGGTTGCCAGATCCCAGAGAAATCTGATGAAAGGTGCACATGATGAGAAGACAATGTCTTTCGCCAGCTCCCATGGAATTCCAAGGAGTTTGGATAGCCGGTCGATGTCGTCGAAGCAGTAAGTGAACAAGGCATCTTTGGGGGAACATGGCAAGGTAGATGATAGATCTTGGATGGGGAAAGCTTGGTCTTTGTCATACTCTTCGACTCGGCCGTTTGGCATGGTGGATCCCCAATACCATTTTCGACCTCCGTCCACCAGCAGTCCCCCGTTCTGTGCGATGATGGCAGCACGAGATTTTCAGAGGCTATTATAGCTGTCCAGGTGTTCACAATGAATGCGTATGAAGAAATGGTCGTCGACCCATTTGGACACGGGACCCATTCCCTGGGATCTAAAGATGTCTGCACCTGCATCTGCCACTTCGCCGTAGGTGCCTGCAGATGGGGAGAAGCTGAAGCAAAAGCTCGAGTCAATTGCGAAGCTGTCAGTTCCCGTTCTGACCACGAGTCCCAGCCATTGAGATGGGTGGAGTGGGATCGTGCGATATGCTTTGGTGATGTTGTGTATGGCAGCTTGCGAACCTGGTGGAAGGGACCAGACAAGGAGGCAGATGGTTGCTGCTGTGCCCCATGTACAGGGGTATAGGTTTGAATCAACCAAGGAATTAATAGAAGATATCGTAGGGGATGGATGGAGGGGAAATGAAAGGTTCTGTACCAGCCAAAATTTCCCTGGTTTCCCTGGTTTCGGGACCATGGAAAGGGGGGCTGTCTGGAAATGACCAATGAGTGTCTCGGTTTCGGATCTTGATAGCGGTCCGATGTATCGTCCTGTGAGATATTCACGATTAAGTATGGTAGTGAAGGCACTATGGTGTTCGAGGAGGGAAGTGCTATTAGGTGGGGTGTAAGTGCGAGATATATCGGGGATGCTCCCCATGAAGCCAATACATAAACTGTTTGGGATATGTGCATATTTATGAATAAGGTTCGTAGAATTAAGGAAGTGCAACCAGACTTCGGGATGATAGGGGGTGATAGCATTAGACATTCTCGCTTTGAGGACATTCTTGAGCTCCGTGGCTCTTCGCTCCGCATCCTGAACATTCATGTATGTGAGAACGAGAGGTGCTTGAGCACCCCTTCGGTCTTTGCCAGTTGTAGCAGAGCTCGCATCCATCTGGATTGATGAGATGCCCCTCCGCGTTTTGGCGGCACCAAGTTTTGGTCTGTTTGTCCCAAAGGAACTTGGATTCACATTTGTGGATGTTGTGACAGAATCAGCTAAGACAGAGGGCGCAGGCTGAGGGCCCAGATTGACCTGCACCCGTTGGAAAAGACTGCTGCCCTTTCTGGGGCTTCTTTCCGGGCTGGTTGGCACTTGGAATGTGGTAAGGATGATAGCGGTCATTGCTTGACAGGGAGGGTGCTTCAGCCCCAGATTGTTTGCTGCGGTTTGCCCCTGCCTCGCAGCCTCGGGAATGCGAGGACATGTTAGGCATTGCGTTCTGTAGCTGGTTTGGTGAAGCGAGGCAAGAGCAGGGGGGGAGGTGGGAGCATGACATGGTAGGGTAGTGGGTAGCGAGAGCAGGAAGCGGCAAGAGATAGCAGGAGCTGAAGGTGGCGGGAGCCAAAGATAGCGGGAGCCAAAGATAGCGAGAGTGGGAGATAGCGGGAGCTGAAGATAGTGAGAGCGGGAGATAGCGGGAGTGAGAGATAGCAGGAGCAGGAGGTGGCAGGAGTGAGAGATAGCAGGAGCAGGAGATAGCAAGTGCCAGATGTGGCATGCAGGGTGTAGCGCAAGCGAGGTGTGGCACGAGCAAAGCAAGCAGGGCAGAGGTTAAGCAAGCGGGAGCAAGACATCGAGTCAGCAGGTCATGTGAAAGGGAAGGGAGAGTTGTGTTAGTTGCGAGTTTGGACATTGGGAGTGATGGGTGTACCATTTTGATGCCTTCATCTCGCTCCACCTCCCAAATGTCATCTGATAGGGTGTTGTAAAGAGCGTTGTTGAAAATACCGATATTGAATCCCTGGTTTTGGGTGAGGCGGTCGTGCCATTCACGATGCACAAATCCTGCATAGCGAAGCAGGGTCTTCTCCCCGCGTGAGCGTGTTCGGTGTTCGTGGTTGGTGATGAGCATGAAAAACATGGCCAGAGCCTGCTGGTGCTTCTCCGGCCAGTTGCACTTCTCGAGGTGGACGAGGTAGCTGGTTTTCGCCAGGTCGAATTGCCGCCAGGAGAGGTCATGGTCTTGCAGGGCTTTTTGTGACGCTTTAAATGATGCGACTGGTTTGAGGGCAACCATGCCCTCGACTTTTGCAAAGCCATAAGCATCTTCGGAAGAGGACCTGGAGTTGTCAGAGGCATCGCGACAGCCGTCCGGACTGAAATACCATAATTCTATGTACTCCATGTTTTTGATCTTCTGGAGGGTGAACTGGGAAGGACATGGGATGAGAACGTCCGTGACAGTTGTGTTGGCGTCGAAGTCATTAATCTTGGGTTTCTTCTTCTCGGCTTCACGTCGTTCTTCTTGCTCTTCGGCTTCCTTCTCGGCTCGATTGAGCTCTTCCTGATCCTGCTGTGCGCGGGCGTCTGCTTCACTCTGTTGTTGCCAGAGGTCGATGCGCTCCTGGCGCTCGATCCTCCAACCTTCTGCCATCTGCGCGAGAGCATCTTCTCTGGTTGTTCCTCCTATAGTGAGTGTGTTGAGCCATCCTGCATATGCAGCGGACTCGAAGTTGGGTTGCGCCTCAAGCGCTGGGTCGGCGAGAATGCGGTCCATGTGGGGCCGGAAGAAAACGGAAGCTCGTTCAATGTTGTTTCGGGAGAGAGAATAGAAAAGGAAATGCAATGCAAAGGATATGTGGCTGTAGAGAAAGAAAGAAAGGAAAAGAAAAGAGACGAAGTCGTTGAGGACGACTGGGCTGAGAGGAGGGACCATTGCAGTACGAAGGCAAAAGGTTCGTACTGCACCCGTTGCTTCGCGCAAAGACTAAACTCTAGTTCTTCGCTCATGCCTCGTTACGTAATAGAGTCACAAACTACTCTGCCTGCTGGTAGACTTGTACTAAAACGTACTCACGACCAGGATAAAGGTGATACTTACACTGTAGTGAGCAGTCTAACGAAGGACAGCAAGAGTCTATCAGTGGGACTGGTCGACTGTGACCGTTGCGTAATCTGGGATATACGAACTGTCGGGTCACCGGTGGATAGGGCTGAGGGGCTCGCAGTCTAGAGACGCAGCGAGCTAGGCAAAGGCTGATGCAGCTAAGTAGGTCGGCACCGCTTCAACGCCCTTAATCGATGTGTTGATGATCCAGAAGAAAATTATACGTGCTCGGCTTAATAAATTTCAAGGCACACATATTTTCTTTCATCTCTCGTGCAACAAGGCGACCTTGTGGGTTGAAAGAGTTATGAGGAGAGGATCCAAAATCATGGAGCGTCCGCACACGTTGACCAAAGATTGTAGTTTTGGCAGGGATGTCTAAGAAAAGCAGCCAGTTAGTAAGGCTTCCGCAATCAAAGGAGATAACTAACATCTATAGACAACACCAAATTCTTCGGAGTTTGGGCTCCACGAGACGGCATGACGAGCCTCTCCTTGTCCAGGGTGACGTGGCAGTCTAAATTACCTGCTGCACTGAGGAGGTACATACCAGTCTCGCCATAGTAGCTCTTGTTCAAGTTATCGGCCTCTCATTGTGTAACGACGAGTACCCTGTTTCAAGATCATTCCACTTGATCTGGGCGCGATCAGAGGGGAAATGATAATACCCTCTTCTCTAGAACAAACACTGCGATGGACAGGTTCAGTCCAGGGAGACCATCGATGCGCCTTCAACGCGCAGCCGATCCGCAATGCCCTTCCCCCATTCAGCAGGGCGATAGACCTGGATCTCCTGAGCAACAAGACGAATGGCATGCGACTCAGATATGGTGTACTGAAGGTCCCAGTTCTCCTGCGACTTTTGTGTAAAGGAGATGAGCTCCTCGCCAGTGGAGGCGTAGAAGACACAGAGATTCTTATGTTGGGCGCCTTCCAGCTTGACTGCAGGAAAGCGTGTGAAGTGAGATTTTTACCAATGGCTAGATGGTATACACGAGGCATACCTGGCCGCTCCCATGTTGAGAGGTATGTTCCGCGCGGAGAGAACTTGAGTTCGACGATATTTGGAACACTCAGTTCTTGGAGTAGCTGTGCGCCTTCGGCTAGAAAGATCTGCACACTAGGATCGAATTAAGTCAGTCAGGTGGATCACGCGAGCACGAGGCAAGACGTACACAGAGGGTTGAACCAATGCGAATAAGATTTGATGGGGGTTGTTTCGCGACGATCATATCGCGCTGAAAGGAGAGCTCAAGTGCTCAAATTTCGAAGCTGATGCGAGCACAAATAGAAGAGTGGTGGGTGCACACCAAAATGGACATGCCAGCGGTAGCTTATATTTAGCAACCGTACCTTTGCATCGCCTCCGGGCGTTGATCAGCGTCCGGAGGCGATGCAAAGGCACGATTCCTAAATATTAACTACCGCCGGCATGTCCATCTAGTGCGCACAGTCTTTCTTCCTTGGACCCTACCTTATTCGTGTTATCTGCTGTTATCTGCTACCATGCAACTCGCTACCATCAACTTCGAGCTCTCCTGGATTCAGCGTGATATGATTGCACAGGTGAGCCTGTCATATTGATGCATGAATGTGTTGTAGTTGTAAGGTAGGAGTGATGCAACACTGTTACAATCCATAGGCAGGTAAATAGGGTGCATCATAATGCATCACTGATGCAGCACGATGCATCAGCAATGCTATATGATGCATGCCTGTGATGCTTGCTATGATGCATCATTTGATGCGGTGCTGTCCATTTACGGTATGTAGTGTGTTTGGCGGGTTGTCCATTTACGGTATGGAGCGCCTTTGGCGGGTTCTGGCCATACAGCGGGATATGATGCATTATTTTCGGAGCGCCCTCCCGCCCGCCTTCTTTGATGGGCGGTATTGTCCATTTATGGTATTCAGCGGGGCAGGTTCTGGCAATACAGCGGGTATGGTGGGTGCACCAGCAGCATTCCACCTTGTTACTTATCCTCAGTGGCCCGTCAGCGCTCACTTTCAGCATATGGCCGCAGGTACAGATGCGTCTTGGGGGGTTCTGGAGCGCATGGGGGGTACGGTGCACCAGCATACGGTGGGTACGGGTTCTGGCAATACAGCGGGTACGGTGGGTGCACCAGCAGCATCCCACCTTGTTATTACTGATCCTCAGCGCTCAATTCTAGCAATATGGCTGCAGGTACAGATGCGTCTTGGCGGGTTCTGGGGTGCACAGCGGGTACGGTCACTGTGCACCAGCATACGGCGGGTACGGGTTCTGGCAATACAGCGGGTATGGTGGGTGCACCAGCAGCATTCCACCTTGTTGTTAATCCTCAGGCGCTCAATTCTAGCAATATGAATATTCTCGGCGGGTTCTGGGCAGATGGGCTACTACTATCTATCAATTGACACTGTTACCAAGTACATAGCGAGTAATGCATCATTCTCCTACAACCAAATTTCATGAAGTCCGTAGCACAAAATTTCGGTGATGTATATATGTTGATGCATCAATGTTAGCAATTTCACTCTCGCACACCTATTCTTGCTCACAGTCAAACATTAGCATTTGAACCATGCGCGCAAAATGATGTATTATATTTCTCGACAGGTACAAGATAACTATTAGACTGAGTAGGGACATTATATCAAGAAATTAGCAAGACTATGATGATGACAGCATGAAGAACAACCATACTAGACCTTTGCCCGCTTCTTCCTAAGAGCTCTTAGCAGGCATCGAAAGAAAAATGAGCAGGATAACATACTGTTGAGCACCCGCAGACCTGTTCTGCACAGGCCGTTTCATGGAAGGCCCAGTACCAATCACATCCGCCAGCTCGTTACGCCTGGACTTAACTGGGACACGCTTAGATGCACGTGTGTTCGTAGAGTCATTGGTAATTCCACCAGGAGCTGCATCCCCTGGTGAACTAGACTCAGCTCCGGGTGGGTTAGTAATCGTGGGGGTGGTGGCGGCCTTGGGCTTGCGGACGGCCTTGGGTTTTGGGGCGGCCTTGGGTTTTTGGGCGGCCTTGGGCTCGAGGATGATTTTTTCGGTGATCGGCTTGGTTATGACAGTGGAGAGAGAATTGTTGGGTGTACTGGGGAGCTGGGGTGGGTTGGGATGAGGCAAGACTGGGAGCAAGGGTGGGTTGGGATGAGGCAAGACTGGGAGCGAGGGTGGGTTGGGATGAGGCAAGACTGGGAGCGAGTCAGCACTGGACTCATGCAGACTAGTGCGCTCAGCAGAAACCGGCGATAAATTTTCCTGGAGCCAAGCAGCAGCAGAGGCCGGAGACATTTGGAAGACTGGATCAGTCCCATTGAGATCTTGCCACATATTGGGGAATGAGAAGTTGGGGGTCGACACAGAGGGGTTGTAGACCGGTGTAAACCCATCAGTGGACATGAGAGGGGCAGTATACGCCGGAGTAAAAGAACTAGGAACCGAAGTGGTGGACATTTGGGGCGCATAGAATGGTCCGAACGAGTTGGGAACTGAATTGGTGGTCACAGGGGGTACGTATGCTGGTAGATACGAATGAGGAATTGGTGCGGAGACACCATTATAGTTAGAGTATGATGATGATGCATCAGACTGCAGGGGTGCATCAACGTGAATAGATACGTATTGCAAACAAAAGGGTACGTACCATTGCACCTATTGATGCATCAGGCGTGGCTCCTGATGCATCAGATGCATCACCCAGTGAAGCATCAGGCAGCGGCAAGGAGCCTTGTGATGCATCAGGCAGCGGCAAGGAGCCTTGTGATGCATCAGGCGGATGCATCAGCTGATGATAAAAAATATAAAGACCGACCAATCTACCCACCTTCATGATCCTCTTGCTCCTCTTCCCCTTGACCAAAGGACTCGATGTCATTGTCCTCTTCGACGTCGTCATGGCCATTGGGCACCTCTTCATCATACACTTCAAATTCCTCACCGCACTCCATGTCCTCATTCCCTACAGTAACGTTAGGCTTGCGCTTGTCGGATGCTGCATGATATAAATTAGGTAAGCCAACTAGCAACTTGCAGATTAAAAACGCACGGAAGATTATTTCCGCATATTGCTGAAACACCTCTAGGAAATTCCTATCGGCCGTTTGGTATAACTGGGCAAAGGTTCTGCCTTGTGGAGTTTCAGAGGGATGGCAACTTGAATACATCAGAGTCTTGGCGTGAGTAAACAGTCTATACCCGATACGTAAACTTACGATAATGAGGTCATATCCCAGTCGTTTCTTGGATCTGGACCAGCAAACATGAAGGACACGAGGAAACCGGTCTTCTTCTTGACCAATTGCGCGAATCACCGGCAGATAATGGGTAAGTCGTCTATGCCCCTGCTTGAATGTTAACTATTGAACTCTATTCACAGAAACCACTTACTGTGCAATTCCCTCCGCATCAAATGGCACACAGTCATCCTCGGTGTCCTCATCTAAAAAATTCTTCTTGCCGGACCTCTCGTGAGTTTTCCACTGCTTCTCATACATGTCACGAATCTGAACCTTGACCTCCTCATCCTCATCATCCAACAGCTCTTTAGAAAATTTACGCCCCAGCGCAACTCGTCTGCCCGACGACACCTTCCCAGCCTCTTCCTCAGCCTTCACCAATGGTCTGATCCGCTCATCGTAGTAGATATCGGAGTACAGCTCAGCCTCGGACTTAGCACGTCGTTTTGGCTGCAGCACGTCATCGAAGACAGTTGTCTCCTTTTTCAGGCAACGGTTTTTCTTGGACGCGTTCACACGCCAACGAAACCAAGTCCGGAGTTGCTGAAGCACGTCAGTAAATAGTAATATGTTCATTATAGATGGGCTTACTATTTTGCGCCTGCTTTCAGCTTCTCCCACCTCAATACGTTGCTCCGGCGAAAGGGCGTCAGCGGGAATGTCGGGAAATACTACCGCTTCCTCTGGGAACTGTTTAAACCAGTCCCCAATCAAGGTGGGCCAAAAACGCGAATAATCTTTTTCCTTCACGTGCTCTGTGAGATATTGGGGGAGGCGCTCTTGAAGCCACTCCATTTGTACGTCTGAGGTCCAGCGTGTGGCAGGCATGACGAGATCTTGTACGTTGAATGAGGTCACTGCAAGATTAAATGCGCGCACTTCAAGTTGTCCCGAAAAATGAAAATGGTGTGTAAACTTATGTACGCTATACCTGTTGGATTCTGTTGGATTCTGTCTCACGCACAGGCCTAAGTTGTCTTGAACAGTGCAATCAACCACCCGAAGGAGCAGTATGGTAGATCAGTTAGATACTTCGTCCATAGCTAACTAAATAGAAGTCACAAGCACATTGTTCTAATTTTATCTAGGCACCTTGAGATCCGATCAATCGAAGTCCAAATCTAAGCCATCGAAGTCTAAATCTAAGCCATCCCCCGCCTCGGTGTTAGTACTCCCACCATCCTCGATCCGATCAATCGAAGCGCCATCTCCCTGGGCCTCGATGTTAGTGCTCCCACCATCCTTGACGTCGCCGCTGGCAGGCTCATCACCTGTGACATCCACCCAATTCTCTATGAACTCTTCTTCGGCCTGTAACGTCGCATTCTGATTATGCACCGACACGATTGTGAACGGAATGTATCCCGCTAAGGCCTTTTGGGATCGAAACCAAGTTTTAATGCGCTATTGAGTGGTCAGCTTGTGCACTCCGTAGAATCTTGGTACCCACATATTTCCTCTGTTTAACGGCCTGAAACACCTGACGGTGCTGCTCTTCAGAGAGAGACTGAGTGTTGGGTAAGTCAGGGAACAAAGCATCACACTCTGGCCAGCATTCGAAGAAAATCTCGTATAGGGATGTCCAGAACTCAATGAGGTCGTTGTACTCATAGCAGTAGTTGTACTGGTCTAGCTGATTTGTTAGCCAGCGGCGCTGATCAGTTGAGAAATAGGGTTCCGACATGGTGAGAGTTGACGCGTGAATGTAGATTAGAACTGTGAAATAGTATTATTTCACGCTCCGAGCAGCGGAGTGCACGATTGTCACCAGATTGAACGTTGAACGTTGGCAGTCTGAAAATGACACCGTCAATGTGATAGAATAGCATATCAGTCTCTGAGTATACTACCTAGCTACTAGTACTTAGTACTATCTGTGATGTACATCATCCAAAGCCTTCCAAGGGCTGAGTCTGGGCTTGTCTGATACATACAAGCTTTGAATAAAACTCCCATAAAACTCCCTGCGTATACTATGACAACAAAGTGCCAGCTCTTGATTGCTCAAACATGAGCGGCCATCGTGCTCTAACCCTTGCACAGGGATATGACATATCGTTCCTTATTACGAACGTCCATTCAGAGACCATGTTGAAACACAAGGTCGTCGATTTCATCATTCAGTGCGTGGCATCCGAATGCTTCTAGTACATTGTTCTCTCGTCCCCGGTACAAGATTTAAAGTAGTAGACAGGGAAATAAGTGAGATGAAGCTTAGTAGCCTCAATGTACGCGCGCGCACGGTAGCCGAATTGTATCTTACCGCTGTTTGTGTCTTACTCACTGCGTGCTGGTGTGCATTACCCTTACATGAATGCTTACCCCTGACAATAAGACACTTTCATGACACCAAGCAACGGCTACCTACGCACACTGGATCTGACATCCTCACGCTTCAAAGGCAGCCGGTGTTTCTCGGTCTCGGTCTTTGTCTCCTACAAATAAACTGATAACACGTTCTGAAGTAAGTAGTGCGAGCTAGTTCTATCTGTCCCGAAGTCTGAAGTCGGCTAGTTCCATCTGTCCTACAGTCTGCTGATTATCCTACCTACGCACATCTGACATCCTCACGCTTCAAAGGCAGCCGGTGTTTGGTCTTTATATTCTACAAATTGTACTGATAACACATTCTGAAGTAAGTAGTGCGAGCTAGTTCATCTGTCCTGAAGTTTGAAGTCTGCTAGTTCCATCCGAGTCTGTCCTGAAGTCTGCTAATTATTGTGCCCATGCACATCTGACGCTCTCACACTTCAAAGGCAGCCGGTGTTTCTCTGCTTCGGTCTTTGTATCATACAAATGTACTGATAACACATTCTAAGCTAAAGTAATGCGAGCTAGTCCCATCTGTCCCGAAGTCTGAAGTCTGCTAGTTCCATCTGTCCTGTAGTCTGCTATTATCCTGCCTGCGCACATCTGACATCATTACACTATAAAGGCAGCGGTGTTTCTCTGCCTCGGTCTCTGTATCCCTGATTCGCACCTCTCTGGAACTGCTTAATTGAGTGGCGGATCACTTCTAGTATTGGCCACAATTGGTACATAGATTGCGTCCATACAGTATATACAAAAATATATTGTCTACTTAAGGCAGCCACTGCACTTCTCCGAGATCAATGGCATCGAGCATGCGCACCAGGCTGTCATCAAGGGACTTGCAGCGGCTGAATGATGAACAGCTAACACCGAGGACATGCGGGGATGTGCGCTGCCTGAGGGAGAATCAATGGCAAGAACAAAAACGTGCCACCAATCAAGATACACAACCATGTCTCGAAGACACCTACCCGCGGCCGCGGGTGACAAGGTAGAAAGGACCAAGGGCCCCAGCACGCGGAACATCGAAGAGCTGAATCACGATATTGCTGCTGGCCCCCTTGTCTCGCCGTGGACGATGACGGCTGTCATTGGAAGATGTGGGAAACCGACAAACTGCACGAATGCAGCGGCCTGAGTCTCGACAGCTACTGCAGGAGGGGCTGACACAGCTACTGCAGGAGGGCTGACAACAGCTACTGCAGGAGGGGCTGGTGACAGCTACTGCAGAAGGGGGGCTGATGACGGCTACCGCAGGAGGGGGACTGATAACGGCTACTGCAGAAGGGGGACTGACGACGGTTCCAGGGTAGCAAAGCAACCACTGGGGTGATGACGGCCGCCGTAGGAGTTGCAGACGACATGACAGGAGGGCCTCCACTACCATCAGAAATCACTTGGATGAGAGTTTGCGCCTCATCATTCGATAGCGTCAATGAAGATAGTAATTGCAATACAGCATCTGAAACGTGTGTTAGCAGACATAATCAGTGATGGGCCAAAAACGCACCAAGGCTGCTTTGGTCGTTGTTCGTGGTGGTGGTCATTGTTTAGGAAGTCAGATGGGACGTAGGCCATCAAGAATCGAAGATAAATACTTACCGAACTCAACGCCTAGCTGAAGATCGGGTGGGACGGTTGCTTAATAGAGAATCAACCAACAGTCCATGAAGGTCGGTTGCAATAGAGAATCATTGTCTATTTGTCGTTGTTTGTTGATTCGCACAGAAGGTGAGCAACTTCTTTGAAAATCCACGATATGATCGAATCTACAATCGAATCCATGCGTGATTCGATGCTGGCCATCAACATATACTTCACGAATGGCAAGTCCATTTCTGATGAGTCCATTGCTGGTGACGGCCAGCATTACAGGTAAGTAGGAAAAATATCATTGTCATTTGCTAACGATCAGTACAGCCAGTACTTTGTCATGGAGTCCAATCTATCCCCCCCAAATGCTGATTCGTCTTCAACAATTGTATGTACAGACGAATTGCGTCGGGAGCTGGGAAGAACAACAAGAGCCAAGAAGCGCCAGAAAAAGGTTATCCTCAATTCTTACTCACGTCCAAAATCGAGCGTCAAGCAG